AGGACTTGGCGCGAGGACGGACAGGGGATGTACTGGGTAGGTGCTCGGAGGTGGGTACGAGTAAGGTGATTAGCTAGTGTAGGTCTCGTGTGTGACCACATACACAATGTGATAGTTGGCTGGCGAGTGAGCGAGTGAGTGATTGATCGATCGGGCAGACGCAGACGCAGGCGCAGATGGGACGGACTGCTGTGCATTGCATTGCGTTGCATCGTGATTAACTTTCACGTGCAGCATGACGGCGGAGTGATAGTGGTCGATAATACAGGACCTGTTACTCCCGTCCGTAGGTACTCAATAAGTACCGTACTCGTGCTGTGTACCGATGAACTGCATCTTAGACACGGACTCGGCAATTCGAAGTTCGAGGCGTGGTTGTTCGCAGGACATCTTTACATACCGAGTACTGTTCGCGCCGTTGCAGTGCTGGCGGCGCTTCACGTGGTTCGTAGGAGGGCATTCTTTCCAAGGGTGTCACCGTTGTGGAACGTCAAGTGGTACTAATCAACTTTCACCCATATGTCGATCTACGCTTCAAAAACAACCTGTATTCAGCTGGTTCATTCGAATGAGCGCGACGTTCGTCGTCTCCGCAACCACGGCACAAGACTCCTTTTTCTTAATTAGCGCTGCGTGCGCGAAGGCTCCCTGGGGCGTGCCTGGGGTCTCCAAAGGCACTAATCAGAGCGCCTAACCGACGTGCTGGGGTCTAAATTGCGCGATGCCCCAGCCATGCCCCTGTAGCAACCACTGAGCTCGCCTATTGCGGGACACCGGGCACCACGTGATGCGCCTAGCCGAGTTGTCCTAGAGATCTGGTGACGTCACTCCCTGGGAACGGATTAGTGCGCATTTCACGTTCGACTCGGAAGTTTCTCACCAGCGCGAAGTACTCGTACAGGACTCGCGCGTCGACTGCATGCATTAGTCCTTCCAATCTCTCTTCCCTTATATGGCAGTTTCAGCAAGGGCAGATGGCATCGGCAGCATTCGACTACTAGTACGAAGCATGAAACGACCAGTACTCAGGATCCATTGGCTCGAGTCGACCACGGCGACAAGCAAACATCCTGCGACTCACGCCCAGCTACTGTGATTCACATTCGCATGTTGTGGAAGGCGCTGTACGCGTCGTGCAGTAGAGAAGCTTCCGCACCGAGGAACAAGGCTGATTGCCCTCCCATCATTCATGCATCTTGATTCATCTCCTGGCTGCCAGGTTCAAGAAACACTTACTCTAGTGACAAATTCTCGTATCCTGCCAACCACAGAGGTTGGAACTGTGGCACAGCATACGAGTCTACGCGGCTGTGTGAGGTAAGGGACCTAAAGGACTGGCTTGTCAGTTAGGTATCAGTAAACGGCAGGAGGGGTGTGGGACAAGGGGTTTGCGCAGTATTCGCTTACTGCTGTCGAGACCAGCTTGCGCTCGTCAAGCCTCCAGGAGGATGCCTAAAGCTCGCCCGCTTCAAACATCAACTCACAGATATACAGTACAACGCAACCCTGCGCGAGATCCAGAGAGGACAGTTCCCGTCGCAACTTGCAAGTTGCGTTCGCGAGGGTCTGCTCGCCTCGCTCGGAGCAACTTCCCCGCAACTCGTGTGGTTCCATGGCGCGGGAGACCAAAACATTAGCTGCAGGAGTCACACGCCGCAGATACGTACTGCGACTATCCAGAGGGCTCCCTCTCCCGTGGCTGTGGGACGCTGTTTCCATGGCGCCTTACAAGACCGAGTCCTCTCGGTACGATGCTTGCAGAGTCCCGGCGGTGATCACACGCCGAATCCCGATGGGAACAGCTGGTGGTGACGCCTGTCTCTCGCCTCAGGGTGGTATTGCATTGAGCGGGCTGTGTCCGGCCGTGGTGGGCGTCTAAGCAAGCATACGAAGCCGGGAAGGATCGTGTATGCGTACATCTTGCCAATCTTCACTCGCCCGGTCCATACGCCCCATTCCTCATTCGTCATTAATCCAACCGGCACAGTTACAGACACCCGCACAAAGTTTGACCTAGGAAGCCGTTGCTGGCTTCCGCGATCCAAATCCTACTCCAGCCCCACAGGCAAGGCTCATTCTTCAGGGGACTATGGAGGAGACCCAGTCTCCTGGGCTCCCGGGCTCCCGGTCCTCCAATTCCCCAGCCTCCCAGAGTACCGGGACGCTGGTACCCCACGCTACCGGGAGATTGAACTCGCTTCCGGGACGACCCTAAGAAAGGTCAAGCAGTTGTTCATTATCTCTCGCACTAACATGAATCATGCTAGGTTCAAGTTCCGACTAGTATGATGCGTGCACGACAGCACCGCTGGCTGCTGCCCCTGCCCATGTCGAAGAGTGTCTGTCCGATGGTAGCCGTTGTCAAGTTTCCCTATGTCGTACGGCATCTGCCCAGAGTCAACCAGGCCTTTCGACTTCATTGTTATGGCGGTGCGGTCCGCCGAGCCCGCGTTTTTAACCGCGAAGAGCAATACTCGCTCTCCTGGTCTGTCATCTCTCCTTGCGCCCGGTCTGTCTCTCGCTACTCTGGGCGACGGGAAAGATTACATACGGCAGGAGAAGCGCTAGCAACGCGTGTGGTATGACAGACTCTTCGCGACAATGTTCCCCGTCTCATAGATCCCTGTCCTGTCTAGGAGCTACGCCGATCTTTGCTGCTGATGACTCTGTTTAGGTACATCTCCGTTCAACAAGATTTGGCCTCCACGCGGCTGGGCCGCCATCCATGCGTGAGGCGGATCTTAGCTTGAGCCGGATCGATCTGCTCGACTGGTCTGAGAAGAATCTATCCTGTACCAAGTCGAACCGGCAACAGCGAAACCCGCCACTCGACCTGGCTACCACCACTGTAGTGGAATGGGTCCTGCAGTTCACCCGTGCCATTGACAAGCATGTTCCCGTGCTCTGCACCCGGCCTAATCAAGAGGAAGGCCGAAACGATAGGGGGCTCATCCTGGAGACTCGGGCCACCGGGCCCTTTTCCCAGTGACTGAGAGGCCGAAGCACTTGGAAAAACGAGAAGGGAAATCTGTAGGTCAGACGACTGGCGATATAAGATCCTCTGTCCTCGACCCGAGTCTTTCGGACTTGTTTCATGGTCTTCTACCACAACACGCTCACCTACCATAAACCAACTGAACTTCCACAACAACTCGTCTGGAATCTCTGTCGACAATACAGTAAGCCCCTTGGCTGTCATTTATCTCTCGATGGCTGCTGCGATGTGGTCGCTCAGAAGCGACGAACCAATCGTTGCATCAAGCACCAAACCAGCCGACATACTGAGCTGGATTATCCAAGCACAGCCACGACCGGGCCACGCAGAAACCAAACCGGGCGTCTCCTCAAAGGCACCCGACAGTCATAGGGACCAGAGCAACGGGGAAACGTCCCACGCCATGAGCGAGCATGATTTTGGTATGTATAAAGACTCGCTGCATTGCCATCTCTCTGACCTCGGCCCACAGCGCACATGGGGTCTCAGTTCGACTCTCCGCAAAACAAGCCAGAACGACGCCCGAAGAGCAAACGATCTCACCTTGCCGCGAGATGCTAGAATGACATCCACGTATCCAAGGCATCGGAAGCCCAAGCACCAGCTGCCCCTTCTGCAACTACAGCACAAATTGTTCCACCAGACGGAATATGTCTGGATCCTTGCAATCACGATTCCCTTTCGTTTCGTCTATTTGCTACAGCATCCACACCTTCAGCGGGTCACAAGCCCATACGACCAAACATTCATATGTTCCCAATGCGGTCTCACGAACAGTCATTCCCCGGGCCAATCAGACATCGTTCACCGTCTTCGTGGCACAGCACCTGTCATATTCCGTTGTGTCCCTGTGTCGAGTGTGGAATGGCGGAGCGTCAAGACCACGGGTCGTACAGAACTCGAACTCGAGCTCGAGATGGACATTGGGGTGTAACAGCGATAGGAGAGCAGAACCTGCACTGCGCCGTACTGGACCGGAACATGGCATGACCATGGCGTGGCGTGGCATCGCCAACACGCCCGCACATCTGCAAAGTAGAAGTGCATGGGACGTGGGAAATGGACATCCATGCTTTCGTGTATTGTGCAGATCATGCTTGTGTCACAGTTCAATGTGTCTCCAAGTGTCTCCTATCGTATCGTACTATGTCGTATCATCTCCTTCCTCGTCGAGTCGTTCTGTCGTCGCGTCTAATGCTGTCCCATTCGGTCCACCCGGCGTCAGTACTCCGTGTGGACCCAGTACGGGCGGTAGATTGAGGATTCTCTAAACTCCAAAATATCCGAATACTTCTATCCACGCACGCAGGACACATGACGACCGGAAGATTCAGTGTAACCATGTAACCATGACGATGATAACGAGTCGAGCAGCAAGCAGCAAGCGGTAAGTGACAAGCCTCGAGCGTCGAGAATCGTGTGATCCCGCGCGCGAATCGTGCTTTCGTACTGCAGTTTTTGTCTGCCACCCAGTTTTGCACCGCTCAATCAGCACGGGAGATCAGATCTTCCATAATGCAGGCACGGTAGTGGGCGCGTTGTTTGTATAGTATGGTATGGTATGCCGGAGTGAGTGAGTGAGTGAGTGAGTGATTGAGTGGGTAATAACCCAGATCGGGCCAGTATGGGAAAATTGGTGGTGGTCAAGTCTGGCTTCCGACCTGTGGAACGAGGTATCCCCGCGCATTGTGCCTGAATGGTGAAGGTTGAAGTAAGCTTAGGCATAGAGGCCGATGGATGTGAATGGTCTGCGATGGGGTAGGTGGCGGCAATGCGGGATGAGAGATGTGAGCTCGCCTGTATCTCACCCGGACTGTAGCACATCAGTAAGCCATCCAGCCAAGGAACCATATGGATCTCTACTGTGTGTTGGTGTCGCAGAAGAGGGTGGAGCTCCAGTTCCGACGACAACCAGGCGCAATGTCAATTGACCAGGACGGACGTGTCCTATCCTGTTCTATCCTGTGTTGCCTCGCAACGCCAGAATCCAACGTCCCGACCATAATCACGCCCGCACAGCCACGACGAACAAGCGCGGATACCGCAGACAGACCTTCCCATCCGCAAGTGGGGGATACGCCCTCTGCACGCGCGCAAGGTACTCGTGCAAGAACGCGGTCCTCTCCAGCGGCGACAGCCTGTCGAGGTACGGCCTCAGGCCCGTGCCCTTGACCCACTCGACGATGGCCGGCGCGTCGTCCAGCACGTGGTAGTAGTGCGTGTGCCACACGTTGAGGTCCCTCCCGTCCCGGCACAGCGGGCTCAACCGATCGTACAGCTCCCTCGGCGACTGGAACGATCGCCGGAACGTGGTCACGGGTCGGAGCGTTTCGGCCCAGGGACCTTCATCGGCCGTCTCCCTCATGGCGCGATGTGACGGCTCGTCAAAGTTGTCGGGGACCTGGAACGCGAAGACGTCGCCTGGCCGGAGCGCCGCGAGCAGGTCCTCGAGGATCTGCATGCGCGATTCGTGCGGGAGCCATTGGAACACGGCGTTGGAGAAGACCAGTTGCGGGTGTTGCTGCTGCGGTTGCGCTTGTGATACGGATTGCGCAAAGTCACGGAGGTCGCCCAGCTGGAATTCCACGCCGGGTAGTCGGGCACGGGCTTTGGCGATCATGTCCGGCGAGGAGTCGACGCCCGTGATGTGCGCGTCGGGAAAATGCGTGGCCAGCACGGCGGTCGAGTTGCCTGGCCCGCAGCCTAGGTCGATGACTCGGGCCGGGCTTGTCAGGGGGATTTGCGCGAGCAGGTCTCGAGCTGGCCGGGTCCGTTCGGCCTCGAACTTGAGGTATTGGGTTGCGTTCCAGTCTTGGGCTTGAGAGTCCATGGCTGGCCGGGTGGTGGTGTATCGTCGGTGCGTGTGAAGCGGAAGACGCCAAGTTGAGCGGGAAATCGACCTGGTACTGTCGGTCGAGGTTGATGATGGTGTTTGATGTAGAGTTCGCTTCACGAACCCAAGGTTGGGCGCGCCAAAAGCTGTACGTGTCAAGCTGAAGCTCAAGGTTCTGTTCATGCTCCTGCTCCTGCTCATGCTGTCGCTGTTGCTGAAGCGACGGGCGCAAGTATCGATCGTTCTGCTTTGGTCGACGCGCTGTCTTGCTGTTTACAAATTAATGGTCGACGTGTTTGACAGATTCGAAAGCTGAAGTCGTGGGTGTCTGCCGATGTCGGCGTGGAATGTGCCCGTAGTCCTTGTCTCCATCCCTGTCCTTGTCCTTGTCCCTGTCCCTTCCCGGCAATTGACCGCTTAATGTTGGAGTACGAGTACGGAGTACTGGGTATGCGTGTTCAGGGGTAAATACGAGTACGCCCTCGACCTTCTTCCCGGCGGTTGCTGGAGCTTGTATACGCTGTACAGATACATCATCCTTCTGACACCTGCAGAGTCATGGCTTACTTCCACGCAGACTTAGTCACACACCGCTTGAGGCTAGATCATGTCTTCTCAGCCGCTGCCGTGGCTGCCGACAGGGTCTGGGGGTTTAGGGGGTATGCCCGACACGGCTGGGGTATGAGTACCTACCAACCACCAGTCAGCCGATCGGGTATCTGGCCAGCCTGATGTATCCTCGGCTACTTGGCCTTTCTCGCAGACGGACGGCTATATTCAGCATGCTGCCTCATGCAGCTGTACCAGTAGCGGACGGCGTCTTGTCGACTCTCCCGAATTTGGCCCCGGATATTGGCGTCGCTGGAGGTTTCAGATCACAGCCGAGATAGCCATGTCGGGTCCCATGGCATTATCGACAGTAGCTCGGCCTCAGAAGAGACGACGTGCTGCTATTGCCTGTACGTCTTGCCACGCGAGGAAAGTCAGGTGCAACGTTGTCCTCGTGGGGCAGCCTTGCTCCAACTGCCAACAGGATCAGGCATTGTGTCTCCTGCACGTCTCTGCGCGAGGGAAGCACAAGCGTCGAAGGGTCAACCGAGAGGAGGAGGAGGCGTGCCACGGATCTCCTGTCTTGTCCGGAACGACTGCCGCGGCACAACACCCCTTGGCGACTTCGACCGACGTTCAAGGCTGCGACGAGTCCTTGAGTCTCGATCCCGACCTCTCGTCACAGGACGAGTACGAATCGCAGGCCAACGTCGAGGCTTACAGAAAGATTGTCGATGGCACGGACACCAAGGGGGCGAGGGTGCCCATCTATGTCGGTATGTTGGATTTGCTGTTCGGTCGAGGATAACGATTCTAAGCCACCGTGCGTGCTAGGAGAACTACAGTCGCTGCGTTTCATCTTCCATGTGGCACGCGAGGACAAGGGGATCTCGTGCAAGGCTCACTATCTGGTTCCCGAACCCAAGAGACGGAACCTCTCGCCCGAGGAGATCGCCTGTCTGGAGGCCAAGGGGGCGTTCTCGACAGAGACGGACGATCTGAGAGACCAGCTGCTCAGTCTGTTCTTCGACTACGTCTACCCGATTCTCCCGATCATCGACCCTTACGACTTCTACCGCCGCTACGATACTGGGGGAGCCGCCAACATCAGTCCGCTGCTCCTGCAGAGTATGTTCCTGGCGGCAAGCAACGTAGGCGTCCGAAATCTTGTCAACTTGGCTTGCTACCGACACTGACCGTGTCGGAATTAGTTTGTTTCACGAGATGCTATCCAGAAGTCTGGCTGGTCGTCGGTGATGACCATGAAGAGACGGTTCTACGAACGAGCAAAGGTAGGAAATGACAACTCTAGACGTCCTCGCTCAGGGAGCTGCTGATATAATCCACAGGCACTATACGACGTCGAGTACGAGACAGACAAGCTCTGCCTGATCCAGTCGGTCCTCCTCCTGGGATATTGGCTAGGTAACTCCCACGACAGGATGGACAGCTGGCATTGGGTCGGCGTGGCCACCAGCCTCAGCCAGAGTCTCGGGCTCCATCGCGACGCCGGCTGCTCGAGGATCCCTCCATCCCACCGATCCTTGTGGCGACGGATCTGGTGGTGCTGCTTCTACCGCGACCGCTGCATCGCGTTGGGCATGGGACGTGCGTACCGCATCAACACCGCAGACTGCGACGTGAAAGACCTGACGCTCGAGGACTTGGTATGTAGTGGCATGCCCTCCCCGGATTTGAAGGATACCAGTGCCGCCATCGTCAGGCGCTGCAACAGCTACGCCCCGATATTCCTCGAGATCATCAAGGCGAGCCGGCTTCTCGGCGACGTCCTTGCGTCGGTATATCGACCGCGGAGAGACGAAGATTCGCCAGACTCCTCGTCATGGAACACCGCTCAATCGATCGAAGAGAAGCTCGCCGCCTGGCAACTGGGTCTTGACCCGCGGTGTCGAGTCGACAGCCTGGCGTTCAGTGTCGACGAACCACGTGCCATGATCCTGCACAAGTACTACATCCAGATCTTGCATCAGTGAGCCCTGTCCTCCACGCTGAGCTGGCGTCGTTGGTTGACGATACTAATAACATCTCGACCCACAGCGTCACAGTCATAACCCTGTACAAGCCGTTCGTCTTCCAAGACGACATCCTGCCCACGGACCCGGCGAGCGACATTCGCGCCCGTCTAGCCTGGGAAGGCTGCCAACTATCCGCCTCGGCCGCGACAGCCAGTTTCAGAAAACTTACGGAGCTGGACCTGATTAGATTCCTACCCCCCGAAAGGCAAGTCCCGGATATCCGTGCCCAGTTTGCTCCTTGGGAATAGTTGATTGACTGACTGACCGACCGACCGACTGCTGACTCTTCGACTCCACAGCGTCACAATGCTGATCGCCATCATCGGCATCCTCTTCCTCTCGAAATGTTTGTCCTCAGGCCTGAAATGGCATCTAGCCAGCCAGAATCTGGACCTCAACATGCTCGTCGTGCAACAGCTACAGGAGAGATACCTGGCCGCGAGATTCATCTTTGCGTACTACACCGCTGCCTTTGACAAGGTCGCGCCGGCGCAGCGACCGTCGGTAGAGGGAGCGGCCATCATGTCGAGTTCCACAGCGGCCACCACTGCGACGAGTACCTCCATGACATATGACCGGCCGACTATGGAGACGACGAGCACGAGCACGAACACGAACACGCCCACTCCGTACAACGGCGGGGCCGCCACGTTCTCCTCGGGACATGAAGACGGTCTGAACGCCTGGGGCGAGTGCTTTCAAAGCGGCATGGGCATGACTGCAGATTTTGACATTCTGTTCGGCGAGGCCGGGATTTTTCGGGGTCTCGACGAGTTCGACATGGGGGGGTTGATGTCGTGAGGATGTGACGCTGTACTGTCGGGATTGTTGCTACAAGGTCTTCTTCTTACAGTATGTATTCAATGCTAGTGGCACGTGGCAAGTGGCAGTGGCAGATGTCAGGTGTGTGTTGTGTCTGGACGCGTCGTGTCAAGTAAGCAGCTCGAATTGAATGCCAGCGAGGAAAACTGTACGTACAATTGGACACAGACAGGATGCGAATACGATTACACTTTTAGGATGTGGCTCGATCTTCCTACTTCTAGTCTACGATACGTTCTTCGTAGCGGCTAGTGTGGCAACATCAGAGCTGATCTGCTAATCTACCCACTGGATCGGAACATCGAGTTCGGCTCGACGGATAAATACATCGACGTGATGCATTATCGCTATTACTATCACTCTCACTCTCGCTGTCGTTAGCCGCCGCCATGGCAATGTACCTCGCGGTACATATATACTGTTTACACTCACGGTCGGAAGGTATCAGAATATGAATATGAATATAGACGCGGAAATGGACATGGACATTACTTTCACAGCGCACCCTACGCGTACCTATGTACCCTCGAACCCTGTCACACCTCGTCTCACACTGCGTATGTATCTATGTACGTAGGATATATGCGTTAAACACCCCGTCGACTACGCCGGACCTGTTGGGTGCGTGTGTACTAATATGCTCAGCTGGCGGTCCGCAACTTACTACGTGTCCACTCACTTACTCACTTACTCACCTACTCACTTACTCACTTACTCACTTACTTACATACCTACCTACTCCTCTCATCCTGCCGTACCGAGCAGACTCCATTGTACTGTACGGACTAGGTACCCAGTCGCGGATTATGGCAAACACTTCATTGACTTACAGTACTCGTACTCGTACCACGACGTGCACGACCCAGAACAGCATAAAAGTACAGTAGCACAGTAGAAAGGACTTCCGACTTCGGGGGTCTACGTGTCCTCCTGCGCTGCGGGTGTATATATACATACATACCATATCATATCATATGCACACACCTCTTCCAGCCCTCCACTACCCATTGAACTCAAAATGACCCATCGTATGATACCCATGTACTTGATTACTGTATCCTCCACCTAGGTGCTTTACAGTGGTCTATGTTTTTGAATAGCCACTGCTTTGCTACTCTCCTAGGCTTGCCGCAACGAACTCGTACTGTGGACATGGCATGTATGGTACAGTACGAGTACATCCTCACATCCTCACATCCTCACATCCTCACATC